ATAATACTACCACTACTGCTGCTACATCTGCTACTACTACATCTGCTACTTCTACTACAACTACTACTACTTATGCGACCACGAATACTAATACCACTACTACTACCACCACTACTACTACTAATTATAATACTACAACTACTACTGCCAATACTGCTACTACATCAACTAATACTACTACCACTAATACTACTACGACTACGATTGCTACTACTACCACTACTTTTAATACTACTAACAATAATACTACTTCTACTACTAATACTAATACTACTGCGACTAATGCTACTACTAATACTATTGCTTCCACTACTGCTAACACTAGAACTACTACCAGAACTACTACTACAAAACTACTACTACTTCTAATAATACTACTGCTACTACTACTACTACTANNNNAATTGTTACTAATAAAACTACTACTTATAGTACTACTAATAATATACTTCTACTAAGTCTCGTGCTACAGAGACTACTACTAATAGTCCTATACTACTACTACTACTAATACTACTACTGCTATCAGTACTGCAACACAACTAGTACCACTTCTGCTAAAACTACTACTAATACAATGATTAATAAATCTACTACTAATACTACTACTACTACTACTAGGATTCATAATTATAATACTATTTCTAAAACTACTTCCACTAGTACTACTACCACTACTACTACTACATTTACTACTAACATTACTACTTATTCTAGTATTGCTGCTTCATCTACCACTACTAGTACTACTACTACTAATACTACTACTATTACTACTACTACTGCTACCACTGCTACCGCCACCACTAATACTAGGATTCCTACTACTACCAGTAATACTCTACTACTAATACGACAGCTGACACTACTACTACTCCTACTACTCATACTTCGATTACTATGATTACTTATACCATTACTAATACTATTACTACTAATTATAATATTATTACTACTAATACTACCACTGGAACTACTACCACTAAAACTACTACCACTAGAACTACTACCACTTATAGTACTGCTACTACTTATACTAGTGCTACTACCACTTCTGCCACTACTACGATTACTACAACTATTACTTCTCCGAATACGACTTCTACTACTTGTACTAATACCATTAGTACTACTACTACTACTACTACTACTGGTACTACTACTACTACCACTACTACTATTCCTACAACTCCTACTACTGCTAATACTACTACTAAGACTACTAACTCTTCTACTGATATTAATACTACTACTACTATTGAAACTTCTAATACTACCACTAAAATTGCTACCACTGGAAATACTGCCACTTCTACTACTAAAATTACTACTATTACCACAACTACTTCTAATACTACTGCTACATCTATTACTGCTACTGCTGCTGCTACAACTACTAAGAATAATAATAATACCACTACTACTAATTTTACTGCTACCACTACTAATAATTCTACAAGTCCTACTACTACTACTGCTAGTACTACTACTACCTTAACAACAAATACTACTACTACTACTACTACTTCTACTACTTTTACCACTAATACTACCACTATTACAATTACTACTACTTCTATTACAANCTACTAATAATACTACAACTACGATGGCTTTTAAAACTATTCATACTAACACTAAAACTGTTACCACTAGAAATACTATTGCTAATACTACTTCATTTACTCCTACTGCTACTACTACTACTACTGATAGCACTGCTGCTACAACTACTAAAACTACTACTTCTGATACTACTACTACTACTACTACTAGTACTANTACCGCTTCTACAACTTCTGCTACCACTAATACTACTAATACAACTAATAATAGAACTCCTACTACTACTACTACTACTA